CATGTGCGCGTGCACGTGTACAAATGCCACACACACACAGTGCACAAAATCACTTGTACTAGTTTCCATATCTTTCCAGAGTTACTTTAATCAAATATAAGCACCTAGAAATATGCCTTTTTTTAATAAATAGTAACACACTGAACCTACTGTTTTATACCTTGCTTTTTTTCCATAAGTAATGCGTCTCAAGAACTTCTGCGTCACTTCAGTGTCCTCGTTCATTCATTGGGCTGTATGGTGTACTACTTGATAGATGCACATATTTCATTTAACTAGATCCATATTGTTGGCCATTTGAGTTGTTTCCAATCTTGTATCAAAATAACAAAATGAATGATCTTGAATATGTCATTTTTTTCATGGATGCACATATATTAGTGGGACATGTTTCTCAAAAGAGAATTGCTGGGCTAAAGGTCAGTGCATTTGTAACTTTGATAGATGTTGCCAATTTGCCCTCCTTAGGTGTTACATTAATTTATTCTCCATATAGCAGTGTGGAGAATCAGTTTTCCCACAATAACTCTGACGGAGTGTGTTAACAAACCTTTCGCTTTTTATAGGTGAAAAATGGCCATTTTAATTTGTTTCTCTTATGCACTATTCTTCATACCTATTCATGTATGTAAGTTCCATCAACATCACCTTCACTGTAAACTATTGAATGTCTTCTTCCCATTTTTCTACCAGGGTCTTGAATTGATTTCTAGTAGCTCTTTATATGTTAAGGAAGTTAGTCCTCCAACTATGTTGTGAGTTGAAAATATTCTTGTCCAATTTTCAATTTTTATTTTACTCATGCTGTTTGGGCCATACAAAAGTTATTTTATGTTAGTTTATGGTCCAATTTTTAAGCTTTTTCTTCTAAGGTTTATAGTCATAGAAACATCTTCCCTGCTCAAAAGCTGTAAAGTATATTAAAGGTTGTTTTGCTGGTGCCTTTACGTTTTCTTTGAGTACATTTGAATCTTTGATTTACTTAAAATTTATCTTTTGAAAAGAATTGGATCCCCTGTCATTTTTTACTCAGTTTCATCTTTCTTGAATTACTCTGCCCTTGGCTTTCAAACTTCGTGTTCTACCACTTTCCAAACCACTCCTTCTCAAGCTATGTCAGACTCCCCCTCTTCTGCTTCGCCTTCGGATGTTGGAGCTTGGCCTTTAATGGTCTCTGATCCTCTGCTCTTCTCACTCTTCCTCCTGTCCCCGTACCTCCCATTCACTGCCAGAGCTTTGATGCCTGGTCGGAGGAATTCCAATTTACATCTCCCCTGAGCTCCAGACTTGGACCACCATCCACCCATTTGGATTTTTCCACTAAAATGAGAATCTCAAAGGCCACTTGTCCAAGTCTGATATCATGCACCTCCCCAGGTCTTCCCAGCTCAGAAAATGCTGGAAAATGGGCTCATGCGAGAAGCCTGGGGGGCAGCACCACTCCCCCATTTCTCTTTTCCTCCGCATTCATCATCATCAAGAGCTGCTGACTTTGTTTCCAAACACTCCTTAGATCATGCACTTCTCTCCATCTCCTCTGGCTCTGCCACAATCTAGGACAACATAGTCTTTCAGTGGGCCAACGAGCACACCCTCCCAGCTGTCTCTCATGTCCACTCCTGCCATGGGGAATCTAAAACTGTAAATCTGATCACGTCAGTCAATCCCAATCTCCCCGACTCTATTACACACACAAACACACACACACACACACACACACACACACACTTTCTTTCAATAATCCTTAGGAAAAGTCGTGAGATCTTTAGCAGAAACGGTTTTTAGAGCCATGAGTGGAAAATTACCCGTGGCAGGAAGATACATGAGGAGCTGACATTTGCAGGGCCCCTGAAAGGAACAAATAGGCATTTACTGGGTGAAAAGGGCTCGGGGGTTCCCACCGGAGGAAACAGTGTCTGCAGACACACAGGGGTGAGCAGAAACTCATCTTGTGTGACCAAAGAATTATTTATGGTAATAAAAACAATAAGAATGAGTCACAGCTAGGTTTTCAGAACAGTGGTGCCTTGCACACTCGGAGGCCCTAGAACTCAAGTCTGGGGTGGGGATTCCTGCAAAGGTGACAGGGCAGAAGGGCTCTCAGGCGAGGGGAGAGAAGGGAGCAGAACAGGCCAGGATGGGGCGAGCACGGACACTGTCTCAGCTGGGCTCCATGGGGAGTTGCAAAGTTGGTCCCCCTCTGAGGAAATGAGGTGGGCTTCCAGACCACTATCTGTGCCTCCTCTGGTTCATGGATCCCATGGGCAGAGGCCTCTATTCCAGAAAAGAGGCAGCTACAAGTAGTTAGCAGTCAGCCCTCACAGCAGCTGGACATGGGTGCCCCGGCCTGCCAAAGAGTCTACTGAGTCACCCACAGGACCCCTGCCTGCACCTCGTTTCCTTCTCCTAGCACCCCAAGAGGCAGGCTGACTCTCTACTTAACAGGAAGGTGACAGCACTTGCATGCAATATCTATTCCATGCTGGGGCATGAAAGAGCTGGAATTTGAATCCAGGTCTGCAGAGGCCCAAGCCTCCTTCCTCTCCTCTTCATCTCTTCCCAGGAAATCTCCTTCTTCCTGAGCCAAACGAACAGGAAATAACAATTCCTGCAACTCCCGGATATGGCTGCTCTCAGCAGGAGGAGAGCTGGTCTCTAACAAGCCCTCCAGCTCTGAAGGCTGTTGGTGGGGCTGCAGCCCTAGTGAAGGACCAACCATCTCGTTCTCAGGTCACCTGGGACTGATGGCACAAAAGAAATGCAAGATCCAGGGATGGGGGAAGTGATAATTATGAAAGTGAAGGCAGCTATGCAGGAATTTTGTGGAGACTTGCAAAAAAACAAACAATGGAGTGTGCATTCGCAAAAGCAAGTTGAAGCCCATAAGGGCTGGCTTGAAAATTTTTAAAAAGGGGGACAGTTGGCTAATACACACTCAGGGGAGCCTCAGTCCAGGCTGAAGTTTCCAAGTAAAGAAGATACTGTTTCAGGAAAAGTGTTAAATTAAAGAGCAAGTCTTTAATGTAAAATGATCAAATAGGACTTTCTAGAAGCAAATGTTTTCCAGAAAAGGCTTCCTACTCACATCCAGAGCCTCGTCCATCACAGATGCCTGACATACATTTGCTGGATGGGTGGATCTACTAATTAACAATATCTATAAAATAAAATTCGTTTTATGACATTTAGCGGGTTCAGTCTCTGGACCTGCTATTGGCTACGAGAGCTGTATTTTGCCCACACATTTGTCACCTTCAGTAACTGGGACAACACAATTCCTACAGTCGATGAGACAGCGCACAGAGAAAGGGTGTCTGTGTTTGTGTGAGTTCAAGGAGACACTTCAGATAAAAGACTGGAAGGAAATACACAGAACTCCTGCCATTAAAGAGTAGAGGCTGGTAGAGTCCCACTGAACCACAGGGCACTGTAGATCTGGGAAGAGTCGGAGATATTCTTTAGCAAAATCAGCATGAACTAATCCCCTATGTTTCCTAGATGAGCAAGTTTAGAAAAAGACCTCAATGCTTTGCACCCCTCCCATCAAGAGGCGGAGTCTATTTCCCCATTCCTTGAATCCAGACAGGACTGTGTCTGGCTCTGGCCAATAGAAAGAGCTGGCGGTACAGAGGTGCCACTTCAAGTCTAGGCCTCAAGAGGTCCTACATCTCTGCCCTTGTTGCTCTGTTTTGTGAGTGACCTCAGGCTAGCCTGCTGGAGGATGAGAGGCCCCATGGAGCAGAAGCAGACCCTATACCAACCAGTCCTTGGGGCTTATTACTGCCACTTAAAAGTTTCTAGGCTACACAGAAGAGCCACCCAGCTGAACCCAGCCAAACTGCCAACCAGTGGAACCAGAAGCTACATAAATATTTGTGGTTTTAAGTCACTACATTTCAAGGAGTGTGTACAGCAAAACTGAAACAGTGTAAGATATGCATTTGCCAAAGTTGCTCACATAAGGTTGCCTCGTGCCACTGAATGGACTTAATTTCAGAGGATCCTGATGTCTTCATCGTAAAGTCTCAAGTTAGGGAGACTCTCTGGATCATGTGCCATCATCCAGAGAGTTTCCCTAACTTGAGACTGGTGGCTCTTCTAGTCTTGCCTAGAATCTTTTAAGTGAGCTGCATAGACAGAGGGGGGAGGTCAGCTCCAGGGCCAGGCTGTCCTCCAGCTCCCCAAGTCTGTCAGCAGCCAGGAAACTCCAGCACCCTGAGCGAGTGCCACCCTGAAGGCACCACTGCCTTAGGGAACCATCCTCTGTGATACCACAGCCTATGGTGAGGACTCTCCCTGGGGTCACAGTCCCCAGCATCCTGGCCTTTAGTGAGGACAGTCCCCAGAGTCCCACTTGGCAGTGAGGACGCTCCCAGGGAGGAAGAATGTTAGTTTTCAGCTCTCAGTGGAAACTCTGACTCCAGCAGGCATATCAGACCCCTGGAGGACTGGGCATGGGTTGGGACAGCCGTGCCCAGGGAGTGCTCAGCCCCGTTCACCATCAGGGAGGGCGGCCCCACAGGAAGCTCTGCTCTCTTCCCTTTGTGTCACATCACAAGCCTCTCCAGTGGCCTGAGACAACTCACAAGGGGGTCAGTCAGCCTTGCCACCCTGTGCCTGGGCTTGGGCACGTCCACACACAGCAAGGCCCCCGGGAGCCAAGCCCCAGGCAGGCAGCACAGGCAGCGCCAGACATGCCACTCACTGAGCGGACATTTGCCACGCGCATGCAGAATGTGGGAAGTGCACTTGATTTCCAGCAAGTTCTCGATGATGTCCATTTCAAGTCAACGGTCACCAGGAAGTTGATTTACAGCAAACATTACAGTCCCAGTTTGTCCCTTGTAAGGACTCAACTGGTATCTGTAAAGATTCCAAGAGGGGACAGTAGAGAGCCAGGCTCCCCAGCTCTGTTCCCCTCCAGCCTCTGAACCCCAGGAGCAACTGGGCTCCAGCCAGCCCAAGGTTGAGACCCCCACTCAAGGGGGACGCGCACCCACCTGGCTGGTTGACAGGAGCTCTGGGTTTCCGTCACTCATCCCCACGTAGGCACTGTCACCATCAAACTAGAACAGAGAGAGAGAAGTAGCTCTGATTAAAATGTTCTCAGGTGGCACCAGGAGAAGCAGCCAGAGGAGGTCAGGAGACTGTGTCCAGGGGAGGGGCTGTGGGGCCTGCAGGTGCAAACCCTGGAGCCCAGGACGCCCGCGGCCTCCTTCATTTCGGTAGGGCTCTCTGGGGGGGAAGGAGCAGTCCCTGTTCTGTGGCCCCTGAAGGTCAGGTTAGTGCCAGTAATCACCAGGAGAACCAAGGCAGGAAAAGCTCTCCGCCCTCCAGACCTTGTCCACAGGCACAGGCCAGGCTCCAGCCTCCCAGCCCTAGAAATCCGCAGGCGACCAGCTAGATCTGGAATCCCGGGTCCCGGGTGGAGGCCGAGATCTCCAGAGCTTTTGGGTGGTGACAGCCTACTCCAGACAGGCCCCCAAGTCATCCCATCCGAAGTGACTCTGCCCCTTCCCGCTAAGGCCACTAGAGGCTGCAGGAAGCGAGGGCTGAAACCACGCAGAGGAACCACATTCCCAAGTCAAGGAAGCGGCGGGTGTGGATTCTCTCGCAATAGAGAGCAGTTGGGGGGGTGGGGGAGAACCCGCTCTCTTCACCCTGACGTGGGATCTGGAGCTGGCTTCTGAACCTCTGAGGTTCCTCATCTGTCCTTTGCACACCAGGGTGGCAGTCCCCTCCTCACAGGGTGTGGCCATTCAGAGCACGAGAGGGACCCACACCACACACTGCCCTTTACTGCGTTCCAAGTGCTTCCCCGCCTCCAGGGGGCGTCTTCCCCGAAGCAGAGCCCGAGGCAAGGGTTCAAAGACCTCACCTGTGAGGGTGGGAGGGAAGGGGACAGGGCATGGTGGAGCTAAGTGAGGACAGCCTGATCTCTGGGCAGCTCTGGGCTGTGGACTGCACTGCAGAGTTATGGGTGGTCTTTTGTGGTCTCTGCAAATTGGTCACTGGCTGTGGGCTGCCCTTGGGGAACATGGGGAAGTATAACCTTCTGAGCAAGGTGGCCCCCGCTGGGCCAGGGACAATATCCAGAGGACCCACTGTGAGCCATTTGCCGTCAGCAATCATAGCACCGGGGACAGCTGGCCATTTTTTAAAAATTGAACAATTTATTACAATATATTCACATGTCAAAAATTCCAAAAGTACAAATGGCAACACAGTGAGACGCCTCCTTCTTACTCCACCCCATCACCTGCTGCCCTCCCCAGAGGGTCCCCTGGGAGACAGTCTGCAGGGGTAGGTGTCCCAGGCCATTCTTCCACACTGATGGCATACGGCTCCGCCCCTGACTTTGTGTGTAGCAGTGCGTCCTGGAAAGTGCTTTATGTCGGGACAGAATCCTTCCCGCCAGGACCTGGAGTGCCATCGTTGGGAGGCAGCGCACCACTGGCCGGCAGAACACAGGGCAGCCGCGCTGTCCTAGCCTTTGCTAGTCCAGCATGATGGCCATGAGTATTCCTGTGCCCTTGTCAGTGTGCGGGAGTGTGAGTTTATCTGCAGGATCCACTTGTGCAATCTCTGAGTCCAACAGCATGAGCCATGGCGCCTGTGATAAACACCACCAAGTGGCCCTCGTGGAGGCCGAGAAAGGAGCTGTCTGTGGCCGCCCTTCCCTCAGGCCTCAATGCCAGCCCGGCCTCCACTGCCACCAGGCTCTGAGCACCCACCTGCTGCCCCCACTCCCCATGCTTGGCCTTGCCCTGCCTGACCTTGCTCTTTCTTCCACAGCCCCTGGCCTTCTAGCATTCTCTGTGACTATTTACCAGGTGATGGGGCTTGGCTATGGGGTGTCCCCCCAAAGCTCATGTGTGAGGCAATGCCAGAAAGCTCAGTGGTGCAATGATTGGGTTATGAAGGGTGTGGCCCCAACCAATGGCTTTACCATGATATGGACTAACTGGGTGGTAACTGCAGCAGGTAGGGAGTGGCTGGAGGAGATGGGTCACTGGGGACATGCCTTCGGGGTTTATATTTTGTCCCTGGTGAGCAGAGCTCTGTTTCCTGATTACCCTGTCCTGAGTGGCTTTCCTTCTCCTTGCCCTTCCTCCATGATGTTCTGCCTCACATCTTGCACCCTGAGCAAAGACAGCTGACTATCCACAGACTGAAACCTCTGAGCCCCAGATAAACTTTTCCTCCTCTAAAATTGTTCTTGTCAGTTCTTTTGGTCACAGAGGCAAAAAAAAAAAAAAAAAACGACTAACTACCATGTTCATTACTTAAAATTGGATTCCCCTTTTAAATTAGAGGCTCCCGAGAGTCAGGAATCTTAGTCTATCTGCACACTGATGCCTCCCAAGCTCTAAGAGTGCCTGGCCTACAGTAGATGCTCAGTGAATGAGTAAAGGAGTCAATTCAGATGTTCAGATGGTTTCTGACAGGCCAGGCTTCCAAGTAGGCAGTGGGACTGGCTGTCTCTCAGCAGCACAGATGGGCAGTGTTCCTTGGTGACCGCTGGATTATCAAAAGGAAAGACTGGGTTATTCCTAGAGTCTGGGCACTGACCCCAAGTGCAGGGCTCTGCCCACCACATCGCTCCCAGAGCTCAGACTTCAAGGCACAGCTCACAGGCTGCCTCCTCTAGGAGTCCCACCACCTCCACTGTTCCTCTCACAGCCCAGTCTGTCCCACATCTGTCACATGCCCCAGAGTAGAAGCAACGTGGGGGTTGGAGCTGTGTCCTGGTCATCTCTGAACATCAATGACGGATAGAGGCTGGCATCAGGAAAGGCACTAGGAATTTGGCAGGGTAGAAAAACTTTCAACAAAAGCTGCTGGGTAACACTTGATTAGTCACCATGGCCACTGAGCACTCTGATAAAAGCAAAATATTTTCAGAAAAGATACATAATATATGGGCTGGGGATGTGGCTCAAGAGGTAGCGCGCTCGCCTGGCATGTGTGGGGCACTGGGTTCGATCCTCAACACTACATAAAAATAAAATAAAGATGTTGTGTCCACCTAAAACTAAAAAGTAAATATTTTTTTAAAAAAAGATACATAATGAATAACTCTATCCTAACAGAATAACTGGAAATGGAGGAGGACGAAGTTTAACTCTGCCCTGGAAACATTTCATATAGCAGCAGCAACCAAATGGTAAGGTCTGGCTAGAAGCCTAACAAGAATTGACACAGGAACAGAGGAGAAAGGTGTCCTCCAAACCTGTGACAGTCACCACTTGTAAATACTCCCGACATGCACAGAGGGCCGTGGACACATAACCTGGCGTTGAGAGTCGGGCTTCACGTGGAAGAGCTCCTCTAACCTGTGCGACAGCCCAGGGGAGAAAGTTCTTTTCCCTGGAGGAGGGTGGCCTTGCCAAAGGTCACACAGTTGCGGGGAGACGGGACTCAAGCAACATTCCATGCTTTGCTTTGTCTTACTCTACCTCCCCACGAGGCTGTGAGCCCCTTCACAGCAGAGACAGAGGCCTTTCTAGATCCTTCCATGTAGTCAACCATTAGCCCAGGGCCTGGCACACAGCAGATGCTTGACAATGCATTGGAAGCTCAGGAGAGGGAGGAACTGCCCACAGTGAGCAGTGTAGGCTCTGGTCTCTCGAGGAAGACCCTGATGGGGGGTTGCAGGAGCCAGCGGGTGGAACAGGCAAGGGAGAGGCCAGTGGATTCCCAGAGGTCTCCAGGGCATGACCCAAGTGCTAATCCACTCACTTGTTTATCCAGCTGTCATCTAAGAAGGAATTGCTACGTGCCAGAGCCAAGCTCCCTTCTGGCTCTCTGTGAGGACTTGGTTGGTGGAGGTCCCGGGCCAGGCCTGGCCCACGGGATCTTGCCCAGTGCCCTGGAGCACGTTGGGCTGAGCCCTGTGAACAGAGGCCCTGAGGTAAGAGGTGGCCTGTTATGTGTCCCCTGCTGTCTGTGCTCCACTGTGGCAGAGCCCCTGGAGTGGGGAAGGGAGGAAGGAAGGGACCCCACTCACAGGGACCATGCTCCCTCTGGCTTGGCCTCCAGGGCACCGTGGCCTGAGGATTATGCCCTTAGCCCTCCCTGCATGGGACTCTTTCTGGAAAAGAACTTGTAACCAAGGAGGAGGTCACAGAGTGGCCTCTTCCTACAGACACAACAGGGCGACCCCCCTGCACACGTGCACAGATGGAAAGCAGGTCTACACCCACCACCCAGTGGATGCTGAGGTGAACGCTGCAACCTCCGCAGTGTGCACAAGCATGAGCACACACACCACAAACCTGTGTTCTTGTGGACCCATGTCAAGCACAGCCCTGTGTTCCAGAGAGCACTCAGGCACACATGTCCCTCGTCCACAGGTGGCACCAACCAGCACAAACCAATGCCAGAGCAGAACAGGTGTGCACCAGAGACGCTGTGCACACGCAGGAAGGGAGGGTTGGCAGGCACCCGGAGGTGCACCAGGCATCCGAACTGCACGGGGTAACTCACACCGGCGTGGACACAAACGCACGCCTCACATGCACACAAGAGATGTGCAAAGCAAGGGCACAAGGGACTGAAACCCTGCGCCTATTCACAGTTTATCAATCCCTCAGCCAAAAGTCTTCCACGCCACATGTATTTTAAAATGTGAAGAAAAAACTGTAGGAAGAAACAACAGCCTAAGAATTGCCACAAAACGTCAGGAGAACAACCTCTTACCACTGACTGGAATAGATTAATTTTCCCCATTTCATATTCTAATTATAATTCCTTTTCCCATTGCCATCTTCAGTCCTCATTACAGCTGGAAGATTGTTCTGCAAAAGCCAGGCCTTCATCTTCTCTTCCCAAGAGTTTTGTCATGGAAATGAGTTTTGGAATCTGAAAGAACCCACATTTTTGCAAATATGGAATGTGTGGGGATAACCCTTTCATGACAGCCACCAAGGACACGGCTCACAGAGACTTCTAAAACATCTGTCTCCGCCACATTGTGTGGCTCCCCTCAGCGAGAGGGGCTCCGGGGCCCCTATTCCAACAGTCACCCTCCAACTTAAGCACACCATGTTCTCCCTGCCCCCAA